TGATGTGTTTCTTGAATTATATTTTTTGGCATTATTTATGTGCCATTTAAGTATTTAATTTTAACTAAATTAATTTTATTTAACTCGTATTATTTATTTAAATAAATATTTATAAAATGTTCGTTATTTATATAGGTGAAATAATGCTTAAAAACTGATATGGGAGTCCAAAACTGGCCTTAAAAAGTGAAAAAAATGGCTTCAAAAGCGGAAAAACAATCACCGGCGTGAAAGTTAACAAAAGTCAACGGTCAACGCCAAAAGTCAACGCGCGAAAGTCAAAGTCAACCGAGCGCGGAAGACAAACGACGGCCCACGGAAGACAAGTGACGGCCGCACGGAAGGCAAGCGACGGCTGACACGGAAGGCGAGCGGCGGCTGTATTTATGAGCACGGAAGGCAAGCGACGGCTGACACGGAAGGCAAGCGACGGCTGGCACGGAAGGCAAGCGAGCACAGAAAGCGAAGCGATGACGGCTGCACGGAAACTTTGGCGTTGAAGAGAGCGAAGCGCTGGCGGCTGGCACAGAAAGCAAGCGACGGCTGACACGGAAATGTGAGCGGAGCGGAAGGCCATGCGTGGAAGTGAGCGAAGCGGTGGCTGGTGCGGAATTTGAGCGGCGGCTGGCGCGGACTCCATGACCGCGGCTGCATTAATTCTCGCTGCAATCATTGCCTGTATCTACTGCTCTGCACCCCCAGCTCCTGCATTTATTCCAACCCTGCATTTATTTCTGCACTCTCCGCTCCTATATTAAATTCTTGCACTACTTTTTAGCTAATTTTTGGCTATTTTTGTGTAATTTTTATTCTAGAACCTTCTAGAAAATAGGTAGTTATTAGTAGTTATATTAGTAGCTATTTTTAGAGTTAGTTATTTATGGTTATTTTTAGAGGTAGTTAGTAGTTATTTTTAAAAGTAGTTATTTATTGGCGGTTGTAACCGCCAAGCTTCTAGAAGCTTTCCCCTCTATAAATATTTCCTCTAATTGTACCATATACATATATACACCATATATATACACAATAATAAAAATTTCATGCACTCCATTTTTCTTAAAAAAAAAAAAAAAAAAAACTCTCCAAAAATATGCGATCAAATTTTGGCGCCGTTGCCGGGAATAAGCCTGGTATGTATATATATCAAACCAAAACACAACACAATCAAATCTATAAAAAAAAAGAAAAAAAAAAGGACAGGGACGATGCATGGGGTTGTTCTTCAGTCAGCATCGTCGATCATCATGCACGAATTTATACCCCACCAACCCCATTTATCAATCTTGACGCTTTCTACCTAATGGTTGCACCTTAAATTTTACAAGGACAAATGGACAATAACAAGAATAAAATTACATTTCTAATAACAGGGGCAAAATCTAATAATAATAATAATAATATTGGAATTGTTATAGCTAAAAATCGATATTGACGATCTGATTGAAATGAGCATGTTGGTTTCGATATTGAAACCCGTCTTTTGGCCTCCTCAAAAAAATATCCAAGCTTATCTCGCAGTCGGCAATTAAAATGCAATGAATCGGAATTGAAAAGACTAAAATTGTTCAAAAAAAATTGAAATGGAAGCAACGAAATTGAAGTGAGGTAAACAGGATTGCCATAAAAAATGGTAATTCCTGAAGCTAAATTCAATAAATTAGCATGCATAAACTTGAAAATTTCAACAAGATAGAAAAATAACATAAGAGAAGCGATAAAAAAAATAACGAGAGAATAGCTAGAAATTAGATGATTTCTTCCCATCTCATATCCCATATTTTTCTCAACCTCGACTATTTTATCCTCACTTTTGACCGTGACTTTTATGGAGTTTGTGCTAACGGCAGAGCCACACAGGGGTTCGGGAGTTCCGAGTCTCCCCAAGCTATTGAGAAAAAATTAATTTTGGTCTCATTTAATATCATAATTTCAATTTTGGTTCATTTGGTTCTACTCAAATAAAAATTTATCAATTTGAGTCCCAAAATAGTTGCATGTGCCTGAACACGGCCGTCTTGGATGACTCAGAAAGTGACTGAGCGTCCCAGGCAGCCAACACGACCGTGTTCCTGCCCATGTTCTGAACAGAGCCATATTGCTGCTCATGTTCTCAACATGACCATGTTCTAGGTCATGTTCACAATTCTGTTTTCAACACAGCTATATTTTAGGCTATGTTTACGACCATGTTTTCAATATAATCATATTGTAGGTCATTTTATTATTATTTTTACTTTTTAGTTAAAATTATTTGATATATATATTTATAATTCAACAAAAATATCTTTTATAATTATTTCATAATATAAAAATAATCACTTTTTAATATTTTAAAAAAATATAAAATAATAATATATTAATATATATTTTATTTTGATATTTTGAATATCAAAATAATATTTCAAAATTTTTACTATAAAATTTTAAAAATATATAAACCGGTGATTATTGAAATTATATATTAATTATATTTTATTTTTATTTTTTTGCAATTATTTTTTTTAAATATTAAAAATTGATTATTTGAAGGAAATAATTTCTATTTCATGACACCAATCTCTATAATTATATAATACGAGGGAGTTTCACTCAATAAATAAAATACGATATATTTTATGTATTTTTACTAACATACAAACGAGTGTTATATAATTTACTCATATATAAATATCATAATACATTTAACTTAAAAAAAAAATATTTCATTCCTTTATACTTGTAAGAGAAAAAATATCAAAATTATCTTACACATTTTTATTTATCAATAAAATGCAATTATACTTAATTTACTAAAAAAGAACATCATTAAATCGGGACGAGGGAAGAAATGTAAAATTAAATATTAAATATTTTTCAAAAATCTTAATCACAAAACTTTGACTGGTGAAAAGAAAATAATGAGTTGAAAAATACAATAATATAAAATAAATTTAAAAACCAATGAGGCTGCAAAAGTATAAAATTATATATTTTCAAATAATATAAATAATCTGACAATATATAATATTAATTCTTCAAATTATTATTTTAAACAAGTTCGTTAGCTCCTTAATTTTAAGTGCCTTTACTTATAAGATTTTGCTTTTGGATTTTAATTTTGATCAGTAAAATTATAAATTGAAATAGTTGTTCAATGTGATATAAATATATATTAATTTGATGTTCTGAATGTAAATTTTAATTTATTATAATATAATAAATAAAAAAATAAATTTTTAATTTGATTCTCCCTCCGTTCCAAATAAGACACAATATTTGTAGTAGGATAATTTAGAAATTAGACGATTTGATGGAGAGAAAAATGTATATTTTATTATTTTTATTTAGGTGATGAGATATGATAAAGTGTGGGGCAAAAATTATCTACCAAATCTAGGATAAAACCGTCATCCCTATTAAAATTTCCATGTCGACCATCTCAGTTAAACCTGCTATCTAAAATTTTGAGTTATCAAACCGACAGCAATTTCCAACACTTGCAAAATAATTATGAAAAAAGAATTCATTTAAAAAAGAATCCATAAAGAATACCCCCTTTGTTCTCTTTTATTTAATTATTGCATTTTCATAATTTTGATGTTTTATTTTATTTTTTAAAATATTAAATTTAAATAATTAATTAAAATTTGTTAGAATAATAAATAGCTAATTCAATAAAACTACGAATGATTGAGATGATAAATAATAATAATATAGATGATAAATAATAATAATATAGATAAAATTAAGGTTTCCATATATATATATGACATTTAATTTTATAAGTTGTTAGATTTTAAAATTTTTGAACTTTTTTTTTTAATTGTATTCTTTTGTTCATGGTAATATTCTTACATAATACTTCCTCATTCCCAGATACCGTGTCTACTACACTGTAGACACGGTATTTTAGAAGGGGTGTAATTAGTAGATAATTAAGAATGTATTAGTGAAAATAATTATTCTATAATATAAGTAATTATAAATTAAGATTAAGATAACTAATTAGTTTAATTAAAATTTAAAAAAATAAAATTAAAAAATTTAAAATGAGATTAAAGTGTGTAATCATTTTTCAAAAAAAGAATGTGACATAGTATGTAAGACGGACAGTAACGGCAACGTGACATGGTATCTGAGACGAAGGGAGTAATAGTCACAAGAAAAAAAAATTATAAAAAGGAATACAGAGATAATAAAAAAAAAAAAAAAGATGATTACGGAAAAATCATCTGATCAAATTAAAATTTTGAATTTTATAGAGTCGTGAAATATTATTTAATTAAGGTATTTCTTTCATACTTTATTTACAAATTTAATGTTTATTTATTTTTAATATTATTTGTTATTATTCTTATTGTAATCATTTATAAAAGGTAAAAGAAATCGCAAAAAGAAAACACTTATATAAATATATTTTAATTATTTATTATATTTTTTTACTAATCAAATTTTCCATTTTTATTATACACTTTTTCAAATTGATTTAATTTCTAATATAATATTTTAATTTTGTAAATTATATACAATTTTAAGTTTTTTTATTTAAAAAAGTATTTGATAAATTTTTAACGTATAAAAATAATCATAGAACGGGTTTTGGCATAGAAGATAGGCTACTCAGACTTTCGAAAAACAAGCAAAAGTAGAAAACATGGGTATGTTTCTTTAGGGTGTGTTTGTTTGGGATTGTATTTTGAATTGAGATTTAAATAGTAAAAATTTTGAATTTGAAATAAATAAATATTAACGTGATATTTTGAATGTAAAATTAATTTTTAGTATAATATAAAAAATAAGTGTTTGATTTGATATTTTTGAAGAAAAAAATGAGATGAATAGTATATTTTTGGAATAATCCCCCAAAAAAACACACCCTTAGTCAATTTTTCTCAAATTTTACTATGACTCTTCTCCCCAAGAAAATACATTTTTTTTCTCTCACAAAAACATCACAAACATTATTTTCATACCAAACCCAAACAAATTTTTTTTCCAAACTCATAAAAAAACACAAATGATTACAGCACAATTAAAACTTGGTGCTACTTTTGCAATTATGAATTTGTTACATACATACAGGCCAAGAAATAAAAACAATGGGGAATTGAATTGATGGATTAAATCAAACACTACAATCATCTGCAAATTTTGTCAATCCAAATTTCATGAATGATGTATTATCTATCTATGTTACTCCCCAACAAGAAGACCACCCTACCCACTACCTTCTTGGCAATAAAAGTTAAGTTTTTAGGTCTAACGAGAAAACCGGAACAAGTGGAGCTCAGATATTTATTTGTTACGGGATCGTCATCGACTAACCTTCTGCTTCTTCTTAGCCAATCTCATTCTTTCCCGTCTTTCCTCCTCTTCGATCAATCGCAGCTGCTCTTCGTCTTCCTTTCGAGCTATTTTTGCACTGAAAAGCAAACCGGGGAAACATGATATCAATTTCAGTTCGGATTGGATCTCTAAAAGCTATTCTTTTAACACCAAATTGGAAGAAATTCGATGTAACAGTAACTATACAAAGAGAAATTAATATACAACAACAGTTAAAACTTACTACGAGTGAGTAAACAATGACTAATAACCACGAAAAAACGGAATCTAAATATGTTAATACACACTGAATTTGAACTGACCTTCGTTTTTCCTCCCTCATAATATCATCGAAACCGGCCTCCATGTCGCTAACATCATCATCGTCTCGGAATTTGTTAGGATTATACCTGCAAAACAACAAATAATGAGAAAGTTAGCTCTGACACTTGAAAAATATAACACATAGTTCATTAAAGCTATCGAATGCTTTCAGGTTTAAGATTAATTACCCAAACATCTTTCTTATCATATTTATCGCATTTTCATCATCAGAATCATCATCAAGCCTCCTCTTAGGTTTCGGTTTGGGCCTCTCTTCATGTTGAGGAGCTGAAGGTTTCGGAGGTGGTCGCCTCATCTGCTGCAGCCCCCATAGTATAAGCAAGTTAAATCTACAAAACGAATTTATAACCTAGAATTTTAAGAGCTAACAAATAATAACGGTAGTTCATACCTGATCTCTAGAAGGTGGCAATGGCTGTTTGGTCAAGGCCTTTGGCCTGCTCGTTTCATGATACTCCTTTCTTTGCACTGATGATTTATTCACAACAGACGGCTGGCCACGAGGAGGACTCCGTCTTTGCAAGCTATGCTGCACTTGTGACAATGGTCGTTTACGTTCAGGGGCATGTTGGGATGAAGGGGTTGGTCTCTGTGAACCAGGCACAGTGTGTTTGGCAACGGGAGGGGTGATTTTCCTTGTAGCAGGTACAGAAGTCTTCGAAGGAGCTCCTTTGTGGGGCAATGGCCGACCGGGCCCACTTCCATTATTGTGAACCAACTGCTGCTTCCTTGGTTCTACTGGTAGTTTGCCATTAGATCTCTCGAACCCGACTTTAGGCTTGTTTTGGTTGCTTGGAACCATTGGCTTCCTTACATCACGGGAATGAGGAATTTCTCTTCCACGATCATTGACCACCTGTTTGGTTTTTGGCGGAACTTGAGCTGGTCGTGCATCTTCAAGTCCACCAAAAAACCTGTATAAGTTTCCTCGATAAAAATACAACTGCATCGAATAGTTAAGTTAACAAACCAGAGAGCATAGGGCAGATTCACACCAGACTTGGGGGTCGATACAGTTCTAGGAGGAGGATTTTTAGAGGGGGCCGGAACCTCGGCATCTTCTGATAATAGAAACGAATAGTCCCTTGTATCTTTTAGCATTTGGACTTTCTTCTTCACCTGCATCAACGATTGAGATATCAATATTAATTGAAAAAAAAAACAGATATAAAGACAAGTTAAGTAATCTATACTTACGCCATTCATAACCGTTGGCCGAGAGTTTGATTGAGGTTTAGGTGGGGCATGGGCAGCTGACCCCCCAGAGCTCTTCTTATTCTGTAGAAAATAAAATGCAACTCAAATTTAGAACAACATCCATTTCAACCGAAGGAAAGTTTCAAAAGGACAATACAAAGAAGTGTCCCAAATGTTAAATTTCAAAATCAAAGATAAATTTTTAATTCGAACAACATACTACTACTACTACTACTACTACCTACTAAAGTTACTACTAGCAAAACCAATATCAATGTTATTATTAAATCCAATTGCACTAACATTTAACGGAGCTACAATTTTTAGATCACCCAACCATATCATAATCGAGGCATTGGAGGTGTGCAAAACATGTGACATTCAGAGAATTGATATATCTACAAAAGAAACTCAAAAATACTATTCCTTACGTACAGTAGTATGAGATTTAGTTATTTTGGCTGCCAAATCAGGATTCTCCAGCAAGGATCTGCTTTCTTGAATCACTCTCTGAGCAATAACAGGTTGCGAAGGACCAAAGAAGGAACCATAGCTGCAATTACACAAGCCGACATCAGAAACAAACTTAAGACTCTCATAAATAACCATATTGTAATAGAATTATAGAACTCACTTGTCCTTGCGCAATGTACTTGTTTTGTCACGAGAATTTGCATTTGTCACCCCTGCTTCCTTCTTCCTCTGCTTTCTTATTGAATCTTTTAGCTTTTGCCTTAGTGCAAGATATTCTAGCTGCTCCTGTGTAGGCTGCTCTGGTTCTTCATATCCATCGTCACCACCTTCTTCCTCTTCATACTCATCACCATCCTCTTCATACTCATCCCAGTTTTCATACTCCTGTCATGCATTAAAAAAAATGAAAAAAAAGAAATGCAAGATGAGAATTGAAGAGGTTAAAGTGTCAATACTCAAAAGAGATTTTGTTACACCAAAATTTAAATTTGTAAGTTCGATGGTTGCTTACATCTCTTGCATATCCCCGCATTGCACTCATAATCCTTAGACAAGGGCGGGAGATATGGACAGTGGTTGCAAAGAAACCAAGTCCACAAACCTGATGGAATCATTACAAAAACCATAAATTACATGTGCTTCAGAAATTGTTTTTGTTAAGGGTGTGTTCGGTTGAGAGATTTGGTCCAAATCTCACTATTCATCCAAAATTTTCCCCCAAAAAACATCAAATCAAACACCTATTTTTTATTTTTTATATTATACTAAAAATCAATTTTACATTCAAAACATCACATCATCACCTATTTATATCACATCATACAACTATTCAAATTCAAAATTTTTACTATTCAAATCCCAACTCAAAATCCAAACCCCCAAACAAGACAACCAAAATCATAATTACATCGAATTCAATTGTAGAATATATTTCTTTAATAACAATGTATCAATCTTTACACAAAAACATTTGCTCATACATATTGGAAACTTCAAACGCAAGAGGAAACTCAAAACAGAAATTTCAAAACTCTTTCTCAGGAAAATCAAACCTGACCCCGCCAACCTTCAGATCTTCAAATTCAGCAATTGAATCAAATTCGACACAGCAAAATAATTAAAAATAAAATTATTTAGAAAAAAAAATTAAAATCAAGGCATATCAATCAACCGATAAAACTCAATCCCTTTCTAAACTGCTTGAATCTCCGCCACGCCAAAAACCGCGTTTCTTTCTAAATCATATAATCCCGAAACAAAAAATGGAGTTTTTAAAGCGAAGAATTGGGTTTTGTTTGATTTTGATTTGAAACACATTTCATCACTTTTCGTCCTCCACGATTTCACATAGAAATAAACTAACGATCATTTCAAGATATTAGTTAAACCAAAACTCAATGTCAAATAAAAACCAAACCAACCCTTTTATACTTGCCGTTCGGCGAGGAAACTCGCCAATATTTCAAACGATCTTCAACAATAATCCATATACGGCGAAAATCGCGATAACGCCATGCTTCCCGATGAAAATCCGAAAAAAAAAAAAAAAGAAAAAGTAAAACTTCGCGGAAATCGAATAAAATTACCTCAAAATCAAGGAAACCGGACGCGAAACCACCAAAATCAGAGCGACGGATCGAGGATCTCACGAAAACAATTACGGATCTGAACGATAGCGTCGTCAAGCTTGATGTGAGGCGCAAGGAGCGATAGGGTTTGATGGAAATTTGGGAGAAACAAATCTTTAGCACATATTTGCCAGATAAAAGAACGGCAAAAATCGAAAAATCGAAGGTCCCAGAAAGGAAGGGGCTGATGCTAACGTGCGCCGAGGGATATTAAAGCGAGGGCCGAACCGCTTTCCCATTCGGGTTTTAATAGGCGGAGACTCTAATCGTACGTGTGATGTGTGCAAGTGACACGTGTCGAACTTATTGGCTTTGAAGCTGTGTCTGTGTGAGAGACTTACCCATCCGGTTCCAAACCGCCGGTTCAAAACAAAACCGGACTCAAATCGAAATTTGGTTTCGGTTTGTGTCTTTTTCAAACTGCTAACTCCGGTTCAAACCGGCGGTCCGATCATTTTATTTATTAAACTTTCTCTGTTCCATAAAAAGAATATCACACAAGTCAAAGAAAATAACACTATATTTTTTAATCTCTTATAATACAAATACAATGATATTTGTAAAATAAATTATACAAATATAAATATAAAAATATTGTTAATGTTAAATACAATGGCGTAAAAGACAAATGGTGTTCTACTATTGAATTTAGAGTGGTCTCACCAGTCTAACAGTAGCTAAGGAGCATGCCAAGAGCAGGGTCGTCTCGGAATTTTTTGAGATATATTATAGTCTCTATAAATATATGATTATTAAAATGTATTTTCAAAATAATATCTTTGATTGACGTCGATTGGACAAGAGTTTGAACGTGACCGTCTGGACAATGTCATTGAGAAAAGAAGATAAAAAACAGTCTATCCGAAAATTCGAAAAGCGAAAAAGGTTGAAGGAAGGTGAAAAAGATAAGGGAGAATGTGTAACGGATTTGATCTAAGTTAGTGGGCGCAACATAAGTGTTGACGATGATTAAATTTAGAAAGATAAATGTGAGACTTGATTAAAAAAAAAAAGATTGAAAAAAATATATGATTAAAATTTAAAATTTAATTTTTAAATTAAATAGGACAATTGTAAAGAAAAAAAAAATTGGAAAAGAAAGAAAAAAGAGGAGTAACTGTGCGGACGTCGGCAATTATGAATATGGAGTGGATGTAAAGGAAATATATATGTTTAATAAATATACTTCCACTTTTTTTCCTGGATTAGATGACCTTTTGATTAGGATACAATATTATACTATCCTCGTTAGCTTTTAATGGTCTCATTTATTTTTTAATTATAGATAATATTAATTATTATATCAAAATATAGTATAAATTAAGAAAAAAATTTAAAAATATTTTTTTCAGTATCTTATAATACTAACAAAAGAATATTTGTACAAAAAATTATATAAGTATAAGAATATTTTTAATATTAAATATAATGTAAATATGATCTTAGAGGTGGGCGGATTATATAATTAAATTGTTATAAAAATAGGTATAACATTAGTTACAATAAAAATAAATAACTATTAATAATATTAAATAATAATAATAATAATAATAATAATAAGATATTATTTTTAAAATTTGTATTTTAAATTTTATAATTTTTTTATTATATAATTATATTTAATTTAAATTATTTTATTATGTAATACAGTAGTACACCAGTTTTTAAAATTTAATTTCATTCAAAAATTAATTTAATTAATTATTAATTTATAATTTTAATTATTTTTATATTGTTACAATTTAATTAGATATTAATTATATAATTTTTAGATAATAAATATATATCATTAAAACCGAAATAAATTATTTTTTAATAAAATTTAAATTTTAAAAAGAACTAGAAAATAAACAAAAATAATAATATATATATATATATATAAACTGACTTTTTAAATCTAAACTAAACAATTTTTAAACAAAAATCATCAAATCATAATCAAAATTGTTATTTGAAATTTTAATTTCAATTTAAACATTAAAAATTAACAAAAAATGATAACATGAGTTAAGTTGGAACAAACACAACCATGTTCATCATAAACAAGTTTTTGTTAGAAACAACAGAGTAAGATAGAACACAAGAGACTCTTAAGTGTTGTTTATCCTGTTGAAATATATTTAGAAATAATATATTATATTTATGATAATTATCATTTAAGAGATTCATAGGACTATTGTCTTATTTATACGATCTGTATATCACTATAAATATATATGTATTCTTATGATTGAAACAGAAAATTTCAGTTTTTTATTCTAAAATGGTATCAGAGCCAAATTCTCTCCGGGTACCTCCATGACCCGTTATATCCCATATACTCCATTCGTCCCAATACAATAGTCTTGTTTACCATTTTTGTTCGTCCCAAAACAATAGTCTCATTTGCATAAATAATCATATCACCATAAAACTATCCCTACTTTTTCGTTATTATTACACAATTGACACTATTTTTTACACTAATATACTCACGGGGCAAAAAAGTCATTTATCATTACTTTTTACCAACTTCCAATATAATATCAATATTCCTTAAATCTCGTGTCCAATACAGTAAGACTATACTTTTGGAACGGAGGGAGCATATTTTTATATTTTATTGATGTATCTGTTTCTATTCCCGGTGATACTGTAATTTTCATGTCGTATTCGTCTCTACTACTTCACTAACAGAGTCTACTTTCGTCTCTAATGCCATTGAGAGTTATGTTTTCGACTCTAACTCTATTGAGAGCGAGAGAGTCATGTTTCCGACTCTAGTTTTGTTGTGAGCGAGGGAGTCTTGTTTCCGATTCTAGCTCTGTTGTGAGCGAGCGAGTCTTGTTTTCGACTTTAGCTCTATAGAGTGAGCAGGTCCGATTGTCAACTCTAGTTCCGTTGTGAGTGAGCAAATCCCGTTTCTAAGTCTAACGGTGTTGAGAGTTCTGCTTCTGACTCTGATTCAGTGGACGGCTACACCATTTTCAGTTAATCTTGGCGAATTCAAATTCGTATGTGGAAGATCTTGGCTATATCTTTTTTGGTCACTTCTGACAAACTCAAGTTTGTTCGATCATATCTTGAGTTTGATGAGGGGTGTTAAAATATATTTAGAGGCAATATATTATATTTACGGTAGTTATCTTATTTAAGAGATTCGTAAGGATTATTGTTTTATTTAGACGATTTGTATATCACCATAAATATATACGTATTCTTATGATTGAAATAGAAAATTTCAGTTTGATATTATAACCGGCCAAATGAAAAAAAAAAAAAAAAAAAAAAAAAAAAAGCCTAAATAGACAGTACATTAGGGATAAGAATTGGATCGTGTATTCAAGCCTTTGAATTATTCTCAACATTTTTGAATTTGGATTTGATTGCATTTAAGGCAAAGGCAAAGGCAAAGCATGAGGAAATATTTCCTGCTTTCACGGAGAGCTCTTAAAATTATAATTAATTATCATTAAAATATAATATTTATTAAATTTTATGGAAAAATAAAATATTTGTATTTGTTGATACATTGAGTTGTGTTTACTACGCACCCTAAGGGTGTGTTTGTTTGAAGGATTTTGGAGGATTTTCACTATTCATCCAATTTTTTCCCCCCAAAAATATCAAATCAAACATCTATTTTTCATTTTTTATATTATACTAAAAATCAATTTTACATTCAAAACATCACATCAAACCCTATTTATATCACATCATACAACTATTCAAATTCAAAATTTTTACTATTCAAATCCCAATCCAAAATCCAAACCCCCGAACAAACACACCCTAAGTGAATGGTACATTATTCATTCTCTCTCTCCCTCTACATCTATATGGCCGTGCAAGTCTTAAGTTAGTTATGTTTTGAATATTCAAGTATGGCCGTGTTTATCAAATTTTAGTATTTTTTGTTAATTTTTAAAGTTCGACCAAAAGTGATTAAAATTATTTATAATAAAATTAAAATTGATGAATTTTTTATATCATAATCAAAATTGATAATCTTGTACTAAGACCAATTTTAATTTCTTTTTTCTTAAATTTTAAATTGTACTCCCTCCATCCATTTATACATTTTTTTTTTGCTATTTTTTTGTTGTTCAAAATAAAGTATATATTTTCCTTTTAGTATATACTAACCACACAAAACATTATAACTACTATCACACAAAACATTATAACTACTATCACATTTATATTTATATACATCAATACTCTCGTATTGAGGAGTGAATAATGTTTTTATACTAAAATTATTATCAATTATCATTAAAATACAATATTTATTAAATTTTGTGAAAAAAATTAAATATTTAGTGTCTAAGTGGACATATAAAATAACTTTTAATTTAAATAATTATATAACATGTTCGTTTCATTATGCTTGAAATTAATTTTTGTTTAAATAATATGATACGATGTTTATAAAAAAAAATATTTTCATAAGAAATTGTATAAAATAATTAGCACTGATTTAAATTTACAATCAAATAAATTATTAAAGTAATATTTTGAATATAAGTTAAATTTTAATATAATAAAAAATAAAAAAATATATTTAATATAATTTTTTAATGAAAAAATTAATTCAACCGATAAAAAATTTATTATATTTATATAAATAGATATTAATTTGCTATTTATATATAAAATTAATTTTTATTATTCTTATATTTTTAAACAACGCATTCTTTAGTTTACTCTTTACTTTCCATACAATATTTAATTTCATCATGAAATTTCAATGGATTCCTAAGTTTATTATTTACTTTCCACCCATGGTACAATATTTAATTTTATCATAAAAATTGAAGTAAATAATATTAAATAAGATAATTTAATAATTAAAATTACAACACTTTCAAGAAATTTGGGGTTATAACCCTAGGATCATCTGTCCCAAAAATAAATCCTATTCTCCTATTCCACATACATATGTGTATATATACATAGTGTATATACATAATGTGTATGGGACAGTGGGATAAGATTCTATCTGTCTCATCGCGTCCCATTATGACCCATGGGATCACTTGTTCAAAAAATAAACTATCTCACTTTCCGCATACATAACGTGTGTATGTATATACACAATATGTGTACGAGACAGTGGGACAAAATTGACATTATGAAAATCCCAATTCGAAAACATATATATATATATATGTATATAGTCATTAAGCATCAAACTTAAATAAGTCTGAATAACATCTGCTGCTGATGAAACAAAAAAAAATAAAAATACAACACAACAGAGCAAGCATAATAACATAGGAAAGTAAAACTACCGATTCAGATTGAGAATGAGATTCAGAGACGAGGGCCAGCAGCAAGAATCTCATCAGTGAGCTTCCCATCTTTCCCAATCTTGTGGCTCACAAACACTTCAAAGTTGTTCTTGAACAGCCCACCAAGCTTGATCAATGTGTTCTTGTACCCCTTCTTGTCCGACCACTGCACTCCCAACATACATACACACACACATCCATTATACAACACAAATTACCTACAAAACAAAAGCTCGATTAATGACTAATGTCCGTTACCGTGTTGATCGGATCCAAGATGCTCGAAGGCACCCCTTCCACCTCGCTCGGGATCTCTAGCCCGAACACCTCCGTCTTCGTGTACTTCGCCTTCAGAAGGCTGCCCGAGTGTATGGCATCGATTATTTTACGAGTGTACGCCAATTTGATACGGCTTCCCGAACCGTAGCTGCATCATTCATCCACAACTCCATTTTTAGTATAAAATTACACATTATTATAGGTAGTAGGATATCAGGAGCGGAACTACTTGGACGCTAGGGGAGCTCACCCCCATTATATGTATCTTTTAATGTAAAAAATAATATATAGGTAGTAGGGTACCAGGGCGGAACTACATGAGGACTAGGAGGTCAGTTGACCCTCAGCCCCAAAATATATATTTTTTAGTGTAAAAAATAATAAAATAATATATTTTATCTGTATTTCAACAATTTTGTCAGTTTGTTGATTTATACTTTTACCTCTAAATTTTATTTTTTATACTAAAAAAATATTAAATTTTATGTAATTTTGTTGAAATTTTTTATAACTTATTAAAAATTTTCATTTTTTTTTTTTGTCAGGATGTACTATGAATAAAAAAATAACAATGAATCGATATTTTGCCCCCCCGAACTTTTACTGCTAGTTCCGTTAAGGGTACTACTAGCCTATGCATACCTTCCGCCGGACCAGCCAGTGTTGACGAGCCACCCAGTGGCTCCGTGTTCCTCCATCTTTGAAGCCAACATGGCTGCGTACTTTGTCGGGTGCAGCATTATGAAGGCTGCCCCAAAGCATGCGGAGAATGTTGCCGTTGGCTCCTTGATTCCGTCTTCAGTTCCGGCGACCTGTAAAACGTTCGGACGAAAAAAATATATATATATAAACCAGGAGAATTAATGAAAAACATATGTCTAGTATATGGATAAAGGTGACGATGCCGACCAGGGCAGTGTAGCCACTGATGAAATGGTACATGGTCTGCGCCAGATTAAGCTTGCTCACGGGCGGTAGCACGCCGAATGCGTCGCAAGCCAACAAGATCACATTTTTAGGCTGAGGTGCAACGCAGGGTATTTTGGCGTTCGGGATGTATTCGATGGGATACGCCGCGCGGGTATTCTCTGCAGTAGGATGGTAAAAAAGATTGTATTTTAACGCTCGTCAACAAAAAAAGTTAAATTGGAAGGCGATTGGGGTGGTGTTGATCCGTACCCGTTACGGATTTCTCGCTGTAGTCGACTTCCCTAGTGTGCTCGTCGAAGACCACATTTTCCAATACTGTCGATAATAGTAGAGAAGAAGTTCATTGTGAGGAAAAAAAAAATGACGAAACTAAATAATAAGCTCTTGTTAGTTTATCGAAGGTTACCTGTCCCGAACTTTATTGCATTAAAAATATCGGGCTCCTTCTCGCGCGAGAGATCGATACACTTTGCATAGCAGCCTCCTTCAATGTTCGACACGCCGTTATCACCCCAACAGTGCTCGTCATCTCCAATTAGGTACCGATTGTGATCAGTGGACAAGGTAGTCTTCCCAGTACCTGAGTTTGTTTTCCGAAAGGAAAATCGGGAAAAACGAGAAACTCAGGAAACAGACATCAAATTATAGAGCAAGAATATGATGCAGCACATAATTCAAACAGTTTTATGGACAAAGTGAGGGTGAGAGGGCACATATCGGTGGTCAGGGGAAGGCCCCTCATCGGAGGTCGATCCGATGAAACTTTTACCTGACAAGCCAAAGAAGAGAGCAACATCTCCATCTTTGCCCATATTGCAGCCGGAATGAAGGGAGAGGATTCCGCGCTTGGGCATGAGATAGTGCATTACACTGAATAGGCCTTTCTTCATCTCCCCGGCGTACTGAGTGCCGAGGATGACCATTTCCCTTCTAGCGAGGTTTAAATCTATGCTAGTAGAAGATGTCATGTAGTGTGTGTAACGATTACATGGGAACTGTCCGGCATTGTATATAGTGAAGTCCGGAGTACCAAAGTTCTCCAGCTCTTCGGGAGTGGGTCGGATACACCTGTCACCCACCCAGTTATCGACTTTCCACAAATTACTAATATACTGTGGGGCCTCGCTACGATCCTAATCTAGTGAAACTAACTCAGTCTCTGTCTAATAAATGATGGGGAGAGAATATTATTTGGGGATATGGAATCAGAGGTCAGCGTAACGATTAAGATAACTTATCTGGTATGGCTTATGGGCACATAGAACTGCAAACAAGAACGGATATAAATGTTAAGAATCTTAATTTTTTGTTTTACTTACATGTTGTGCATGAACAGGGAATGATAAGCCCGGGCTGAGACTATGCGGACTTTGATGCGATTCTCGGGATCCCAGTTCAGGAATTGATCGTTGACAAACACCTGAAAGATTCCATCATTGAGATGTTTTATTGGCCAAAGATCTTCTCAAATTTAGTTTGCTATGTCTTTAAATTTCACCTCAGAATATTGCAATGATAACTAACTTTACTGTTTTATCAGATGCTTCCAAAAATGAAAAGGGAAGTGCATTTCAGTGCATATCTCTAAAGAGACAGAGATCGAAGATACCCGACAATAAGCCTCATATCAGTCATGATTCCATTAACAAGAAGTGGCACACTCAGATTCCACAATTTTAAAGGATACTGTGAGAATTATTACCTTATCCAACGAATTCAAGTAATCCACAGCTCTTTCTCTGTTAACCATGAAAGTGTGCTCATCCATCTCAATGTTCGGCGAGCCCCTACATATATATAGATATAGATATGGGACATAATTTAAGTAAGGATAAAACACACATACTTCCTTTATTTGCAATTGGAAAAAACTTGCACACTTACTTTCCCCACCAAAGTTCACCCTCAGTGGTCTCATCCCTTACAACACGTTTGTCCTTGGGGGAACGACCAGTCTTGGCCCCCGAAAGAGTTGCCAATGCTCCAGTGGATGTAATGAAAGAACCCTTTTCATACTTTATGGCCTGCTCATACAGCTCTGTAAAAATCACCAGATAATTTGTTAGCACCAAATCCCAGCTGCCAAATTTGGATAAAAGTGGCTAATTTGACATATAGCATTACCAGCAGGGGACAAATTGTAGAGGACATGAGTGAATTTCAAAGAACTGTCGCTGACACTAATGGTGGGGGTGATCTCATGATGGCTCACGTGTCGAGGGGTCTCTGATGACCTGGCTGGGTCCCCTCTCACCACCCTAGGCCCGATCTCTCTTGTATACGATGCCAATGATGCACTGATGGGAAAAGCTCACCAAACAAGACTTAAATCAAGAGAGCGCATATTCAAAAGAGATCTAGGCTGCTATATATGACAAAAGAGTGGAATCACTGTAATTACTGTAATTATCAGTTTGATATGACTATATAACAGGGCCAGAAAAACGTGTGGCCTGCGTTGCAATAGTATGGTTTGATCTTTTATTATTATATCATTGCCATTTGCCTTTAAAAAAGAAAAATATTCATACCTGTAATATCACAATTCCCAAAATAACTAACAGAAAAAAATCCCACCAATTCTAAAAGTCCTTTGAGATTTGAATTGAGTTGGGAGGTTTTAGTTTTTATTTAAATAATATTTAATGTTAATATTTTGTAAAAAAAACAAATCAAATCCAAATAGTAAAAAAAAAAAAAAAAAAAAAAGGAGGAAAGAAGACACAGACAGAACCTATTAAAGAGAAATAACAGGACTAACAGTTCATTATAATATTCCTTGGTGCTGTTTATTTACATTTTATATTTCATTTATAGCAATATTTATCGAAAAATTATATCTAAAAAATATAATTTAATTTAAATAAGTACCATCTATTCAAAACGTAGTCCTACATCTACTTAGCGTTCTCTTCAACTTTATAAAAACAAAAAAAATACACTATTTCATTAAACTATTGGCCTTAGTCTTATGCTCCTTTTTATTTTATATATATATATATATATATATAAATAGTATTCCATTTTCTTTTCTCTCCCAAAAAATATAGAGTGATCACAATTTTACATTAAAAAAAAATAATTATGTTTATAAATATAATATTAAAATATTATTTGAACAAAAATTTAAATTAATATCCCAGTTCAAATCAATTTTAAATTACAACATTAGTATTATAAAAACATGTACTCCATCCGTCCCATTCAAATATTGTCATTTTTCATTTTCGTCCGTTCCAAAATAAGGTTATCATTTCCTAATTTAGTAATTGTACTACCTACTTAACATAATAAAGACCGTTCCAACTTATAATATATTACACAAATGTCATTACTTTTATATTACACTATAATATTTTTGTCTTATTTTTGTTTTTTTTACTACAATTCAATATAATACTAATATTAAAAAATTTGCTTACAAACGCCATTTTTCACCGGGACGGAGGGAGTATATATATTCACATAAAATATACAATTAGAAAAAATAACAATCCAATACAAAATAATAGTATTTCAAAAGTTTAACCCAAAACAATTTTTTTTTTTTTCTTGTAGTATCATCCATCACCATCTCTTCTCCAAATATCACTTTCGAACCTTATTTTCAATTTTAACTATACATAAATAAATAAGTAAATCAAAACAGATAGTGAAGCCAAACCCTTAATCCACAGCTCCACCAGAAGAAGGCCATTTGTTTACTTCTTTTTTGGTCGTCATCACGAGATTCCTACGTCTATTAACCATTTACCTTACCCCACCCCTCCTCAAATATATATGTGGCGAGAGGACTCTGTATATTCAAGTCTAAATTGAAAATTTTCCAAAGACCAAGTCCTAATATAAACATGAACCAAAAGATCTTCGAAGAAGACTTTCAAGTACCAAACGAATTAACTATTTCAGAAGCCTTGTAAAAAATTGCGAAGTTCAAATAATGATTAAATGAATCATTTATTTATACCTGATGGACTGAAGTTGTTGCTTCCTGCGGTCGTCCTCTGCCAGCTGAGCGAACGGACTTTGGATCCCGTCGAGCGGAGTCGTCGGCGCTGATTTCTTCTTCTGGAGAGAATGAAGCTCGTCAATCGTCTGAGCCTTCACCGGCGGCGTGCTGTCGTCGTGACAAATTCCATCCGCTTTTTTGTTCGTCTGAATCTTAGCCAGACCGTTCCTTCCCGTACCGCCGGTGGCGTTGGGAATTGCGGCGCGTCCTCCTGCGTTCGCCGACATTTCCTCTTCCTGTAATCGTTTAGAAACCACAAAACCTCAGCGGAAAGCAACAAGGATTCACACACAATTTCAACATCAAAATTCAGCAATTAACAACCGCAAAAAAAAAGGAATTCATACCTAAATTTGGGGGATTTGATGGGAAAACGCGTGAAGAAGCGAATCAGAAATCCTAATGGGGACCGGTAACGTAGAAAGAGGGCACGACAATCAAAGTGAGGAAATGTAAAGGAACGCGATGATGAACGAAGGAAGCGTGGTGAGGAGCGCAATTTATAGTGTGTCGTGGCCACCGCTAACCGCAGTTGCGAGTGGGTAACCATGGTTAAGATATGATCCAGTGCGGTGAAGCCCACCGTCGATACCTGAGAATTCTCCATGTCTATCCCATCTACGCTTGTTGACTTAATAATGTACAGCTACAGTATGTATGCTGCCGCCATTGCAGATTGCATACGTGGATTTGTTACTCTTTTCTCTCTTAAATTTGTGTTATTATTTTTTAATCAAAAATATTTTTAAATTAACTATTTATTCTTTTTTTTTTTTTCAAAAAATATCAAATCATAACACTTATTTTTCATTTTTTATATTATACTAAAAATTAATTTTACATTCAAAATATCGTATCAACAACTATTTATACCGCATCATACAACTATTTTAATTAAAATTTTTACTATTTAAATTTCAACTCAAAATCCAAACTCCCAAACAAACACACCCTGTTTGGTTTGAGGGTTTAGGAGGGGAGGGGAGGAGAAGGGAGAGGAGATGAGTAAATTTTTTCTAATTTTTTCCCCCTCCAATTTGGGGGAATTTAGAGGGGAGGGATTTTATCAAAATTTTCTTTTATCTAATTACCTATTATACCTTTTACATATTTTATTAGAAATTTTATAATCTCTCAAAATTTTAATATTTATTTATCTTATTTTTAATTATATCAAATAAATTTTAATATATATTTAAATTATATTATATATTTTGAAATAGTTTTAATTAATTTTTTTAATTAAGTTTAATTATAATAATTTTTTTAATAAATTACAGCATATAATTATATCTATAATACTAATATTTTACTTATTTTGTCCCATAATATGAGTATTGTCGTAGATACGAGAATTTAGACAAAATATAATTAGTAAGTAATTAAGAAATATACTAATAAAAGTAATTATAGATTAAGATTAAAATAATTAAATAGTTTAATTAATATTAAAAAACTATAAATTATATAAATATTTTTATAATATACTTAGTTTATATAATTTTTGTTATACTATTATTATTTATACATAAAATTATTGTTTATCTTTATTGATAAATTTAATAAATAACTAATGTATAAAGTATTTGATTCTTCTAAAATGTAATAATGTAATTATTGTTTTTATTATATTAGACAAATAAATTTTGTATAATATTTTATAAATAAATTAATCGAATTTTATTAAATACTTTTATTTTTCTTTATTTATATAACATAGGAGGAGTAAAACAATAAAATTATTATATTTTTCCTTCATCCCTGCTTAACCAAACACAAAAATATTATTTTCTCTAGCCTCGCCTCCCTTCTCTTCCATATGAACCAAATACGCTATTACAATTTTAATATTCTCTTCCCCCCCTTCGCCTCCCCTCCCTTTCATTATACTCCCTCATCTCTTAACAATTTATTTATTTTTTCATTTTGGTCTGTCCATGACAAAGCATCAATTTTCTTTCTTTTAGTAACTGTACTATCTACTTAACATTATAAATACCATTCAAATTTATAATATATTACTCAAATATCATTATCTTTATATCATACAATATTAATAAGAATAATTTAGTCTTTTTACTTTTATTTCCACTACATCCCAATATAATACTAATATTTCTAAAACTCCGTGCAAAAAGTAAATGAATATGAGACGGAGGGAGTATAATTTTTATATTCTTTTTTACTACTTCCTCCGTCCCATAACAAACTATCTATTTTCCTATTATAGTACGTCTCATAACAAAGTATCAATTTCTTTTTTAGTAACTGTACTATCTACCTAACATTACAAATACTTTTACAACTTACAATATATTACACAAATGTCATTACATTTATATCACACGGTACTAATAAGATTATTATAGTCATTTTTACTTTATTTTTATTATATTCCAATATAATACTAATATTTTTAAAATTACGTGTAAAAAGCAAACAAATACGTAATTATGAGACATAAAGTGTATAAAAAATAAAAAGTAATAAAAAGTTCAAAATAAGTGCCAAAAGAGTTTTGGGCATAAAATTAAGAGAAGGAGAAATTTATTACACCATTTATTATAATTAGTATTCCTTCAGTAACTTAAGAAATGATCTTATTTATATTTTATTATCGCCTATACCAAATTATATTTTTCTATATTTGGTACAATTTACTAATATAAAATATACATAATAAATATAAATTAATTTACGGGTGCTTGTTTAGAGTTTGAATTTTGAATTGGGATTTAAATAGTAAAAATTTAGAATTAGAAGAATTGTATGATATTATAGAAATATGTATTGATACGATGTTTTAAATGTAAAATTAACATTTATTATAATATAAAAAATAAAAAATAACTATTTAATTTAATATTTTTAGAAAAAAATTTGGCTAATAATGAAAATTTGAGAAAGTTGGCCAAACGAACACACCTTTAAATAACTTTATAACATATAATTATCATACATTAAGTAAGACCCATTTAAACCATTTTATGTTTATTTGTCTTCTCAATAAATAAATATTTTAATTTATGTTTAAAACTATCAATCTTTTATAAAATTAATTTATATTAATCACAAATTAAAAAAAAAAAAGATATTTTATTTTTATTTGTAGTATATAAAAATTTAATAATATTTATAAAATGATATTCATAGTGCATATATTTTTATTGAATATAATTTTTATAATATTTAACTGCATATTATAATTATTTTAATTATATATATTAATTTTATTTTAAAATTACTAACAATACTATTTATATAAAAATAATAAATAATATCAAAATTTATTATCATTAGCTAATTAAATATCATTATATTAAATATTGTATCATAATAAAACATATTATTTAATATGGAATGAAGGGAGTTTTATTTATTTATAACTGAGGGAAAAATTCACATATTATATATTTGTGTGGATTATATTTCATTGGTTCATTTGGTCATAAGAATATTTTTATTTTAATATGTCCCATAAAATAGTTTTTTGTCTCTTAATTAAATATTCATTCATTTTTTACAAGAAATGTTATGTATATTAGTATTATATCGATATATAGTAGGAATAAAATAGAAATGACAAAATAATATTATTAGTATTGTATAATATAAAGATATGGATATTTGTGTAATATATTGTAAATTATAAATGTATTTGTAATGTTAGGTAGATAGCACAGTTACTAAAAAAAAAAAAAAAAAAAAGGAAAAAACGGTACTTTGTTATAAGATGGACCAAAATGGAAAAATTGATAATTTGTTAAGAGATTGAGAGAGTATATATATTTTTACTTTTAATACTCTTTCCGTCTCATAAGAACCATTTTCCATTTTGATTCGTCCTAAAAGAATAATATCATTTCCTAATTTATTAATTATACTACATATATGACATAATAAATACAATTTACAACTTACAATATATTACACAAAGATCATTACTTTTATATTACACTAGTATTAAAAAATTTACGTACACAAAGTAAATGTTACACTTCAAGATATAGGTAGTAATTACTATCTCTATCCCAAGATAGATGATTTTGTTTTTTTTTTCTTAGGTCGTCCTAGAACATATGACTCATTTCTGCCCAAATGAATTATACTATTATTGAAAATGAGCTGCTAACAATTTTCTTTCGTTTTCGAGAAGTTCAGACAATATTTGATCGGAAGCAACACCATCATGCACACTGACTATGTATCGAATAAATACTTGATATAGAAGAAAGAGATAAAAGACCGAAAAGGGAAAAAAAAATTATATGATAAATCACCTGAGCAGACTAGAACAATCGGAGGACATCACTATAGGTATAAATAAATATTTTTCTAATGAGAAATTTTTCTACAATAAAATTTTATGCTCATATTGCTCAAAGAGAAAAGAAGAGTCTATTAAATTTGGCTAAAGATTATTTTTGGAATGAGGCATACTTATTCAACATAGGGTTAAAGAGGAAGTCAAAACAATTATTTTTGAAGTTGAGACCTCATTCATTCTGAATAAGTATCTTGATTCCCATATAGAAGGTCATTTCGCAAAGTAGCAAACAACAATCAAAGTTTTGCAATTTGAATTTTTCTGGCCTGTCATACACAAGGGTGTTGAGGCCTTTGCCAAACTCACCTTTTGAACGCGACCAAACTCGCAATCTAACAATGAGACAAACTATCACACTATCAAACGGCAATGTAAAACATCTTTCACACGACGCTGCTTTTCTCATTTTTATGCCTTTAGAATGACAAGTGGGTTCAATGGAACAATACTTAAGAATGCATTGTAGAAGGTTGTTAGAGCAGCCACAACATGGGAGTTTTGGACGCGAATGCAAGGAATAAAAGATCTCGATCCTAAGGCACGTTAGTGGCTAAAGGGGAAACATTTTGGTGAATACTTTTGCAAAAGTTTCAATAATTATATCTTAAACACAAGGGAAAAGCACATAATTATAATATTTAATGATAAATGTGTATCTGATGAAACGACTGTAGGAGAATCGAGATTGTGCACTATGTAGGTGGGGAAACATGGAGATTTACCATAAAAAAGTTCTTTGAAAGAATAAGAAGAAAGTGGAGGACTGTATCTTGATCAAGTCCGATGAAAACACTACTAGATTTCACGTGTTGATGGGAGCCAACACAATTTTGATTTAGGAAATAAGACAGTAGCCGCCAATAGTGGAAATTGAGTGGCATACCATGTCAACATAGAACTTCATTAATTGGAAATCAAGGATTGGATGCAGTGAATTACGTTGACAATTGTTAATCTTTGGACTCGTACAATCAATTTTACTCATCCTCGATAAAAATGGTAAGCATCAAGTTGTTTTGAGAGCCAACAAATCTATCATTTCCTCCCAAACTGCCAAAAGTATGCTGAAGTGTAGGTAAACCAAAGAAGAAGTTACGATGCGATAACCTATAAAATTTATGCGATCGAAGAAAATGATGTCAATCCTAAAAAAAGAAGCAAGC